CACAATGAAAATGTTATTGCTTAACACAATCTTAATTTTTTCGAGAATGGTCTTGCTCAAAGTATTAAAAACAACATTAATATGAAAGTCATTTCACTGAACGTCAACAACTATATACGTACAGCTGTATGATAGTTTTCACAGTACAGTATAATAATAATAGGTGTTTTATTGTAATGTTGAGACACAGTAACAATAAATGTGTAAAGTAAACTTTGGAGATCATTAACTGATAGAAGACATTCTGGGAATATGTGACATTTTCAGGGTGGACAGAATGTTAGTAGACCAAATGGGAGTAGATGAAGTGGGCATAAACCTATTTTATAAGTAATGGTGATAAAATTTCTTAAAGCCAAGAAAAACCATGGCTTCAGCTTCAGTTTTATGACTTTTTTATTGGCTGGCTTCAATATCATGATTTATTTGCTGGTTTTGGCTTCATGACTTTAAATGGCTGACTTTGGCTTTGTGACTTTCCAATGCCTTTGGTTTTGAAGCTGGAGGCTTGGCTTTGACCCCGTGTCTGATCTGACCCTTTATCATAAATTCAATTTTCCTAATCTCATATATTCTGTGATGAATACTTTTCAGGGTGACAATTTTGTAAATAATACTGGTAGCCTAGGGTTGATAATCTTAGTCTGTGTTTTCTTGTACTCTTAGGCCTCGTACACACCAAGATAGATTGTCTAGAGACAGTCGCACAACAAATTTGGATTTTTCTGAGACAGTCGCACAACAGTCCAGAAACATTGCTGCGCGACTGTTTCTGAATAAAGTATCTTGGTGTGTACGAGGTCCTGAGACAGTGTTTCTGGACTGTTGCGAGACAGTCGCGCAACAAATTTGGATTTTTCTGAAACGGCTGCGAAACTTTCCAAAGAAAAAGTTGCACAACAATGTACAGTAAAGGTCCAAAAATCCGGATGCCAGAAATCCGGACCACCCGAGAATCCGGACTTTTCGAAAACTCAAACTTAAATTTTTATTTATTTATTTTTATTTTTTTAATTTAGCTGGCTTTTGTGTGTATGTGTGCATGCGTGAGCGCCACAGCTGCACAGTGACAACAAGCGACCACGCGGTTGCCACTTTAAAACGAGCAATAGAACTGTGACAACGTATGTAATTTTGAGTCCTACTCTTTCCATTTACAGAGTACTGTACAAGCCCATAATAATGGCTCCTAAAGTAGATAAACTTTGTTGTGTGAAGAGAAAGAAGAACACGTTGAAATTGAGTGAAAAACTTGAAATAATTAAGAAACTAGAACGTGGTGTGAGCAATACTGTTCTAATGGAAACATACGACATTGGAAAGTCTACAATTTATGATATAAAAAAGGCAAAGAATAAAATTTTAGAATTCACAGCTTTTTCTTTAAAACTCCTCATTTTGATAAATCAAGCATGTTATATTTGCTAATGAATAGACTATCAAAATGTACATGTTCATCTCTTCTTTATTTCTCCTGAAATTTGAATTTTAAAAGTACTGCCTGAGAATCCGGAAAATCCGAAAATCCGGACCGACCCAATCCCCAAGCAGTCCGGATTTTTGGACTTCTACTGTATCTCGGTGTGTACGCGGCTTTAGTTTCTTATTACCAGACCCACTTCTGCTTGTTTATGTTCTGTTTTCAGTTGTGTACATGACTTAACACATTTGCATCTTTTTATACTCAACTTCTACTCCTGTCAAAGGTTGCTCAAAGGATATGAATACCTAAAGAAAATGGGAAAATGGTATGGGTGTAAATTATGTTGAAAGCTAATGGAAATGGCAGAAAAAAATAGAAGGACTGGGCAGTACTCCATGCTCACTTGCTTATAGTATCCTCAAACTGCATATAATATTTACTGAATGAATTCAAAGGAATATTCCTAATTTGAACAGCCTTTTCCTAAGTATGTCTTAACATCTTATATATTTTCAGTCATCACAAGAGCAATTTATGTTCCAAATTACCAACCATGGGTCCACAATACTTTTCATGGCTAATTGCATATCTTCCATTTCCTGTGTTCAGAGCTAAGTGTTCTTTGACAAATGATTACTCTATATGAGGAGCTCTGCATTAGAAGGGGGTGAAGCGCCAAATTCAAAAAGCTGAGAAAAACCCATTTAAAGTATTTTAAAGTTCAAACAACCTTAACTTTTTTGTGTTTTAAGCTAGAAGGTTAATTATTTTTTATCGTGGAGCTCAAACCCTCTCCTAGCAAACTGTGAAAACTGGAAGTTAGAATTGTGAAGTTATTATTTTATCACGAGTTGAATGAGAATAACTACCCGTGATGTACAGTTGTTTGATCTTCAAACCAACAATAATCGCGATTTGTTGCAAAATTTTCTTATTATTGTGGGCTAATACTGTAAAACAAGTTAATGATCACCAAATACAACACTCGTCTTACACCCACACCCCATAAACCCCCTCAACCCCCCCCCTAAAAAAAAAGAATATATATATATAATTAATAATAAAAAACTCATTTGCCTATCAGTATTTATCTTTCCGTCCCTATTAACCATTAACCTCTTCCCCCCCCCCCAACATAATTAACATATGAATACAAAGGCGGAGAAAGTTTGCACATAATCTTTGGTAAAAACAGTAATATGATAATAGTTTTACAATCTTACTTTGTTTAGTTCCTTTGTTTTATTATCCCTGAAGATCATAGTAAGTTGAAGTTACATAAATCCTGAGGAGTGCGTAACTTTAATGGCCTCATCGTAATCAATCACGTACTGATCAAAGTCTTTCTCTGTCCTCACTAAAAATCGCCACACAGATTCTTCATCAACTAAATCATTGATTTTTTATGCCGGCAACAGTTCAGTTTCATTATCAGGCTGAGTTATGGGCTCACTTTCACTAGCATTCGTTGGGTCAGACTCACTTTCATCACTATCAAGGTCACTGCATGTCTCGTTACTGTCCACTTCTACCTCCCACAGTCTGTATGTGACTGTTGTGATACATTAGTGTCACTGTTTGTGTTACCATTAGACTCACTTTCATCGTCATTATTGCCGTCAGTGCATGTCACGTAACCCTGTACAGGATCACAGTCTGCAAAAAAGGTCTTGTGATGCATAGCAGTCACTTTTTGTATTATGAGCATACTCAGTTTCATCTATTTCAAGCTCACTTTCACTGTCATTTTCATCGTTAATGCTTGCCACATTGTCTTTTAACTCGTCATAGTCGGCAAAAAGATCTTTGGATGCTTCGTAGCACGCTAAAAAGTTATTCTGTGCGTTCAAAGTGTTATTGTCATTATGATAATCACTTTCATCATGCTGTGAGTCACATTCATTGTTGACAGGTAAGTCATCTAGTCTCTAAAAAGATCTTCCGATGGTTCATAACATAATGTATTGTTTTTTCTGCAATCACAGTGTTACTGTCATTAAGAGACTTACTTTGATCCTGTTGTGGCTCATTATCATCATCGTATTCTATATCTGTTTCATCACTGTCGCATTGAGTTTGTGCAAGCGGATGTCTCGCCTACATTCTCATGCAGTTCACCTGCACCATCGCCAGTATCACTTGTATCACCATAATCAACACTAAATTCACCACCAAAATCACTATCACCAAGCATTACTGGGGTTTCCACGTGAGCATTGGCGTCACTAAACACACGCTCAGGAATAATTGGCTCCTGAACCCACACCAGAAGGCCTGGTCTCATTCGAGTTTTGCTCTAATATCGGGCAGATATTGCACAGCACTTCTCACACTCGTGTAACACGAATAACGTCTTACACTGAAAAGTTATCAAAAATAGCAGTAGAACGTACACTGAACCTTCTTATGCTATAATACACGCCAAAACTAAGAAGAAGGCAGCATCTGGGAGCGTGGATTGGCTGAGGAGCTGTGGCTTAGCAAGGGGAAATCCATTGTGATTTGCTGCCTCAGGGGTTATGGTCCGAGGGAGGCGCACTGTCATTGGCTCGTGCTCCTCTCGCTCTGAACAGGATGTTGCCACTTTCTTTGACTGAGCGCACAGTCAGATATGTAAATCCAAGCCTGAGGCGAAATCACACCTTATTTTTGAAGGACTTTGTACCATATTTTTATTCTAGCTAGAGGGTTACATCCAACGCCAACATGTAGAGGAAGGGTGAAAATAGTGATATCCATCAAAAAACGCATCTTGGCCAGGGTGTCGCTTCACCCTCTTCTAATGCGGAGCGCTTCTTATGTTGTGATAACTACCAGGATCTTAGTCCCAAATCACAGTGAAATATTTTGTGTGACAGAGATAGAGTAGGTATGCATTTTTCATATTTTTTTGCTTATTATTCTAACTCTTGTTTTTGTCATGTATTCATATACTGTACTGTATTACCAGACCAATACGAAAATACAAATTTCAATAAATTTTTAATGCCACAGAGTTTTCAAAAGTTGATAACATTTTGTAAGAGACTGGATTTAGACTGAGGAAGTAGGCAGATAGGCAGCTACCAAACAGGGAGGTACTACCGCCTGGGAAGATATTGGAAGCATAATGTGTTGTCTAATGGTAGACCCTGCTGCCATATGGCATCACCAAAATTGTGACCAAGTCCCAGGTTGCTGACCTGACTTTCTGCCTCATTTACACACAATTGCAGGGTCTCAATTGTTTCTCTTAACATTGACAACACAACACATATATATATATTGTTTTTCACTCTTGATCTTTTTTTATTTTATTTCTTTATTATTATTATTATTATTATTATTATTATTATTATTATTATTATTATTATTATTATTATTATTATTATTATTATTATTACTACTACTACTACTACTACATTTTCGCCCCCCCACGCCCCGGTGTGGGTCAGTGACCTGTGCCCGGGTGGGCTAATCCTAGTAAAAAAAGAAAAAAAAAGAAAAAAGACTATGACAGACTGTGGATGAGCCACCATACCCTGAAAGGAGGTGGCTTGCAAGACTAAGTGAATGTAAAATTTATTTGCCATTCCAGTTCTCCAGATTGCCGTAAGTGGATTGACAGGTGGACAAGACAGTATGAGCGCAGTGGAGGAGTGGAATCACCTCGTTGGCCATGGCTGATCCAGCTGTTAACTCCAGCTGCTATTTTTTATATTGGAATTGTAAGCAATTTGTGCCATATATATGAAACATTTGTACAGTTTTAAGATTAACATAACCCTTAAATGGCTGCCATCATCAGTGGAAGTGAGCTGTAGGAACCATCATATACAGTAAGTCCGTGCTTAACGTCGCTAAACTTTAGAGACCAAAAATTTGCTTTACGTCCCAGTGATCCGATACTACGTACGTCGTTTTGCGTCATCACAGACTACATTTTGCTGTGCATCAACCTCTCTCATCTGGCCGCGCTATGCTCTCTCGGCTTGGCGCAGTCTCAGTGACTCACCACCCACCCTCTTCCGCTCCCACCCTCCTCTTCTTCCGCCTCCCACCTCCTCCTCCTCCTCCCACCTCCTCCTCCGCCCCACCTCCTCCGCCTCCACCTCCTCCGCCTCCCGCCATACTCCTCCCCTCCCACCCTCTCCTCTGCTCCCACTCCTCCTCCGCTCCCCCTCCTCCTCTGCTCCCACCCTCCTCCTCTGCTCCCACCCTCCCTCCTCTCTCCCACCCTCCTCCCTCGTTCTCCTCGCTCCCACCTCTCCTCCCACCCCTCCTCCTCTTGCTCCCCACCCCTCCTCTGCTCCCCCTCCTCCTCCCCACCCCTCTCCCTCGCTCCCCACCTCCTCCTCCGCTCCCACCCCTCTCTTCCTCCCCTCCTCCTCTCCTCCGCTCCCCTCCTCCCTCCTCGCTCCCACCCTCCTCCTCCGCTCCCACCTCCTCCTCCGCTCCCACCCCTCCTCCTCCGCTCCCCTCCTCCTCCCTCCCCACCCCTCCTCCTCTGCTCCCCCCTCCTCCTCCCGCTCCCACCCTCCTCCTCCGCTCCCACCCCTCCTCCTCTCTCCCCCCCTCCTCCTCACTCCCACCTCCTCCTCCGCTCCCACCTCCTCCTCCTCCCCCTCCCCTCCTCCCTCCCTCCCTCCTCCCGCTCCCACCTCCTCCGCTCCCACCTCCTCCTCCGCTCCCACCCTCCTCCCTCCTCCCACCCTCCTCCTCCACTCCCTCCTCCTCCCGCCCTCCTCCTCTCCCACCATCCCACCCCCCTCCTGCTCCCCACCACACACGCTCTACCACCTTCACCCATCGGTGAGGTACCAATGATTTTCTGTATATGTTATGTGTATTTCATGGGGGCAAGGGAGGCTCAGGAAACGTAACTCCGCGTATTTTATCTATTTTCTTATGGGGGAAATTGGTCCGTTTGCGTTGTTTAAGTATAACGTCATGTTTTAGGAATGTGCTCGACTGATTGCGAGACTTTACTGTATGGTTTATTTTTTTTGTGAATTTGGAGGGTTGGGCTCAGTTAATTGCTGGTTGGGGTTAAGATCACTTTGGTTTTTAACTGGTTTACTGCTTATTTTGTTGTCTTGAAGTCTTCTTGTTAGTTAATGAACTACTGTATTTACCTGAGTTATTGAGACTATAGGAAAATATTTCTTTTCTTGGTCACTTTCATGTACTGAACAGCTAACTTTGTTGTTTGGATTACCACCACTGTCTTTGTTAGGTGAGAATTAAATCTGCCTCTGAATGCTTAATACTTTCTCTCTCTCTCTCTCTCTCTCTCTCTCTCTCTCTCTCTCTCTCTCTCTCTCTCTCTCTCTCTCTCTCTCTCTCTCTCTCTCTCTCTCTCTCTCTCTCTCTCTCTCTCTCTCTCTCTCTCTCTCTCTCTCTCTCTCTCTCTCTCTCTCTCTCTCTCTCTCTCTCTCCTCTCTCTCTCTCTCTCTCTCTCTCTCTCTCTCTCTCTCTCTCTCTCTCTCTCTCTCTCTCTCTCTCTCTCTCTCTCTCTCTCTCTCTCTCTCTCTCTCTCTCTCTCTCTCTCTCTCTCTCTCTCTCTCTCTCTCTCTCTCTCTCTCTCCTCTCTCTCTCTCTCTCTCTCTCTCTCTCTCTCTCTCTCTCTCTCTCTCTCTCTCTCTCTCTCTCTCTCTCTCTCTCTCTCTCTCTCTCTCTCTCTCTCTCTCTCTCCCCTCTCCCTCTCTCTCTCTCTCTCTCTCTCTCTCTCTCTCTCTCTCTCTCTCTCTCTCTCTCTCTCTCTCTCTCTCTCTCCTCTCTCTCTCTCTCTCTCTCTCCTCCTCTCTCTCTAG